TCTGTCTGTCTCTCTCTCACTTATCTTTCATTTCTCTCTGTTCTTTTGTTCTATCTTTTCTATTTTCTCTCTCTCTCTCTATTCTTTTGGTCTATCTTTTCTCTCCTATCACACTCTCTTTCATTTCTCTCTCTCTTTTGTATCTGTCTCTCCTTCCTGTCAGCTCTCTGACACTCTTGCTCTTTCCCTCCTCTACTTCTCTCTCTTCATTCTTTTCCTTTACATTTTCTCTCCTATCTTTCATTTCTCTTTTCTTTGTCTCCCTCCTTCCTCTCAGTACTCTAGTTTTATAGTTCTTTTTATTCTCTCTCTTTTCTTTTGTTGCTCTCTCTTCTTCTTTTGCTCTTTCTCTTCTCACTCTCTCCTTTTTTAACTCTCCTTTCTCTTCTTGCTCTGTCTGTCTCTCATTTCTTTTTAGCTCTGTCCTTTCCACCCGTCTCTCTTTCCTTTCTTGTTTTCTTTCTCTCTCTCTTTCCTCTCACTTCTTTACTCTATCCTTTTCCTCTCTTTTCTCCTTATTCTTTAGCTCTATCCTTTCTCTTCTCTCTGTCATTGTCATGTCTCTTCTTTAGCTGTCCCCCGCTCTCATTCTCTCTACATTTTTTTTTCTCTATTTAATTCTATATAAATATCTTTTTCACTCCTTTCTCTTCTCCATTTCTTTCCCTCCCTCCTTTCTCGTCTTTCATTTTGCTTTCTTACCTTTCTCTCTTGTTCTCTCCCTTTCTCTTTTCTCCATTTCATTCTCATATGTCTCTCAATCTGTCTTTTTTCTCTGTCAGAGTCTGCATTTCTTTAAAATACTTGCATATTATATGTGTTACAAACACTCGAAAATCCTGTAATAATAATAATAATAATAACAACAACAATAACAATAATAAACACTATTCTTACAAGTATTATTATTATTATTATTATTAGGTGTCCACAAACTTTTGGCCATTGTGTGTGTTTTATTGAGGGATATGAGAGCATTGATTGGTTCACATGTTTGTCACTCTGTAAGTCTGTATGTGTTGTTTCACAGTTTTGATGTTTTCATTATTGTGCACTGAGAGCGTTTGGACTCCTTGGTCTCCTCTATGCTAGCACAGGCTATCCCAGCCAGTGATTAAGTGGGTTGCCAGATTCAGCGAACAAACCACATTCATCACCACACACCACAAATACAGCAGTGTGAGGGTGTGTTTGCACGTGTGGGAGGTGTGTGTGTTGGAGAGAGAGTGTGTGAGGCATGTTAATGAATAAATAAATGAAATATAGACCTAGCACAGTCGCTAAAGACTACATTCTGCTGCATTTGCATATGTTCAGCAGATGCTGGCCAAGTGTGAAGAAATCTCACTACAATCTGTGAATCCATCCATCTGACGCAGCCCAAAACTCGGCTTTGGACAATGGCTGTTCCCCGAGTTTCCACAAACTAAATGGAGTTTCAGTGCTCATGTCCTCCTTATGAACTCAGCTAGGCTGACAGGCTTAAATGTACAGTTTTGCTGATATTACTGACCAGTATAGACTATAGACTATATTTTATTGATATACCTTTTTTGGTTTATTCATTTTGATCTTAAAATGCGAAATAAACAGTTTAAACACTGCTTGCTACACCAATGGTAATTAAACGTAGAATTCCACACAGACTATTAGTGCTTAAAAATTTGGTTCTTCAAATGGTTCCATGTAGCACCATGAACACTCAAAGAACACTCGGCATTATTAATCTGTTCTTTGGATGGTGAAATGTTTCTTCAGATTAAGTGAGAATGTGCTTTAAATGGTTCCACATAGAACCTTTCTGAATGATGTCAAGCTTGTAACAATAGCAGGACCCTTTTTGGTGCGTTGTATTCAATCTTGTCCAAAAAGCTTCTATACAGAACCATCTACAGCACACTGTCCATCAATTTGAAGAACTATTTCACCATCCAAAGAACGATTTGATCATGCAGTGTTCATTGTTCTATATAGAACCATTTTCTTTACTATAAAAACCCTTGAAGAACTCTAAAGAAGGACTGTTTTCCATTTAAAGCCAGAATGCATTTATTACCTTCAGTAATTCAACGATATTATTTCACTGACCCAAAGAATGTCTCTCTGAGAGTTGTTCGTAACATGTAGGTGGATCTGATTAGGTATTATGTGTTATGTCTCTGTAATTACATGACGCAGGATGAGTAACAATGCAAAACATTGTCAGGACTCAAAGATGCCTAACGCAGTGCATGCTGGGACACACAGAAAGACACTAACAAGGTTTATTCTTCTTCATTCAGACCCTTCCAATTAGCTCCCAAAACAATGCTTTTCAGCCCCAGACGTGAAGACCCTCGTGCTCCGCATATGTGTTTCCCCACGTGACCCAGCTCTGCTAATGAGCTGAAGAGTTGATTACGGTTTGTTAAGATGAGTTTTCCAGGACTGGGATTGTGAACCACTGACTTAACAAGGGCACACTATATGTGCTGTGCCACCCAGAACCTTTCAGGAACTAATGAGTTACGAAGCCATAGAAGCTCCTCCACCAAGGTTCAGGAACCTCATGAGGAGCTAAAGAGTTCCTGCCACCATTTTGGTAGCAACATCAAGTTCACTCAGCAGTGCTGTGGCTGTTTGTTACAAAATAACAAAGCCATGACTGATCCAGCAAAGGCAGTAAAACATTTAACACTTTTTAAATCTTATTTTGAAGTGTATTAACTGATATATTTGAGTGTACTACCATGGTTTAATTTGATTTGTTGCTGTAGTGATAACAATTGAAAGCTGAAATCTAAACGGCTGAGATTTCCGGCTGCATCCCAAACCGCATACTACCTCACTAAGTAGTGTGTAAAATTAGTGCATATCCCATTAGATGTGCACTCATTAGTGTAGTAGGTGAAGTACGGAAGTGTGTGGTTTGGGACGCCACGTTAGATCAGCCAGTGAGACACGTTCAACAGCTTCTCTGCTGTGCTGCTCGTTAGCTGCTCATTAAACACCTCCATAAGAAAGTTTGAGGTGTTTGTTGACTAAGGACCATTTACTGAGGTTGATGCATTTTTGAGGTAAATTGATGAAAAATTCAAATGAGAAGCTGGTGAATAAGAAACTGACTTTATGTGTGTGTATGAGTTTATTATTTAAGAGATTTGGCAGTTTTGGTAGCCACTTTTCTTAGTTTTTATAAAATATCACACACTGGAGTGTTCTGAACTCTGTTGATGTGCAGGTTATACAGGTCCACCAATCTAGCTAATCTTCTCCTCGTAGTTTTTTCTGGTGACGCATCTAAAGCATCTACATACCTTTTAATCTTTTTCATGGTCATTCTGGTCTGTTTTGTTGGTTTTTATCCACCTGCAGGGCTGTATTTGCAGTAACGGTGATGACACAAGCTCTATCAGAGCACAGCCAGAGTTACAGCTCACCTACCAACATAGAGACGTGGTCTTCTTAATGACATAATCCAAGACTTTGAATAGCCACTTTTCCACCCAGGTTCCGAAATCTTTTGAAGAATTAAAGAGTTTTGTAACTATAGACACTTTCTCAAGTTTCCAGAGTCTTTTGAAGATCTGAAGAGTTTTAGGATTACAAGTGCTTTTCTACCAAAATACCGAAACCTCTTGAGGATCTACAGACTTATGGAACTGCAGTCACGTTTCTACTGAGGCTGTAGAATCTTTCCAGGAAACTGAAGGGGGTTGAAACTATAGGTGTTTTTTTCAAAAGATTTCCAACTCCACTATATATATATATATATAATATATGTGTGTGTGTGTGTGTGTGTGTGGTGTGTGTTCTTCAAGGGTTCTTTAGTAAAGGCAAGGATCCTATATAGAACCATGGACATTCAAAGAACACTGTGCATGCATAAATGGTTCTTTGCATGGTGAAATGGTTCTTCAGATTGATGGAGAATGTGATGTATATGGTTGTATATAGTACCAAAAAGGATTTTTCTATTGTTACAAGCTTGTAACAGTAGTGGAACCCTTTTTGGTGCTATACAGAACTAAAGCTTATATGTAGAACCATATACAACACATTCTCAATCAATCTAAAGAACCATTTCACCATGCAAAGAACCATTTAAGAATGCAATGGTTCTAAATAGAAGAATCAAAGAATTCTAGAAATGTTCGCAATTGTTCACAGAGATTGCAGAACCCTTTCAGGAACTTGAGAATTCTAGAACTGTAGGTGCTTTTGCACCAAGATTTCAGAAATTGTTGAAAAGCCAAGGAGTTTCAGAGCTACAAACACTGAGGTTTTAGAACCAACTGAGAAACAATAGGAATGATAAGAGCTAACAGAGGCTTTATCACTGTTTAAGGAACTAAAGAGCTCCAAGGTTTCCAAACCATTTAGGAATCTAAAGAGTGCCAGAACTACGGACCAAGGTTCCAGAACCATCTGAGAAAGAACTAATAGAGGCTTTATCACTGTTTGAGGAACGAATGAGTTCCAGAACAATAGGCACTTTTTCACCAACGTTTCAAAACCTCTTGAGGAGCTAAGGAGTCTGAGATGTACTGGCACGTTTCCATAAAGAATTCAGGACCTTTTGAAGAATTAAATATTTTAGGAACCATAACTGCTTTTCTACCATTTTCCAACTGTTTGAGGAACTAAGAGATCATCTATATCATCTAGCAAGATCATCTTCGAGAATGTGAAGGTGTCAAAACTTTACACTTAGTGACATATATTCAGACATCCAAAGCCAGACAACAACAGCTCAGCATTCCAGATACCTGAGAAAACACTATTTTCTCCAACCCAGCAAACAAGTGCAGAAACTCAGGGTATAAACTGAATTAATGATGAGTCAAAATCAAAAGAGAAGGCCAACACAACTTCACACTCAACATATTCTCAAAGATGAAGCTCTTAAAGGCACGCAAGATGTAGTTTTCTGCACAAGTGTCAATGCTTGCATCAGCTATGCCACACATATAGACCCATAGCACAGGGTTTTAGTATCAAGGCCACAGGTTTGTTCCTACCTTCTCCTGACGACAGCAGAGCGTCTGTGGAAGAGAAGAGAAAAGTGAAGGTTAGAAACAAGAAGGCAAACAAAAAGAAATGTCATAGTTTGGAGAACAAATTTTCCCACTTATTCCAAACGTAGACAATCAGCCAGGACAGGCTTAGTGCTTTTTTTAGTTATTTACTGAAGCTATAAAGCTAATATACACTTTTAAAAATAAGGTTCTTCAAGGGATCTTCAGTCAATACAATCGTTCTGTTTAGAACCATGAGTTCAAAATACAATCATTTGCATGCTTAAAATGGATCTATATAGCACCAAAAAGGTCCTGCACTTTAAAAAAATGGTTGTTTAAGGGTTCATTAGTAAAGACAATGGTTCTGTTTAGAAACTTGAGTTCCTTAAAGAACTATTTGCATGCTTAAAGGGTTCTTTGCACGGTGAAATGAAAATGGTTCTGTATAGCACCAAAAAGCGTTCTGCACTCTCAAAGAAATAGTTCTTCAAGGGTTCTTCAGTAAAGACAGTGGATCTATAAATAACCATTTGCAAGCTTAATGGATTCTTTGCATAGTAAAATCGTTCCTTAGATTACTGGAGAATGCGTTGTATATGATTCTATACAGAAGCTTTTTGGAAATGGTTCTATTTAGCACCAAAACGCGTTCTGCACTCTTAAAAAAAGTGTTCTTCAAAAGGTTCTTTAGTAAAAGGTTCTTTGCTTTTTTAAAGAACCCTTTGGTTCTTTAAAGCATTCTTTGAATTGTGAAATGAAAATGGTTCTGTATAGCACCAGAAAGCATCCTGCACTCTTAAAAAAGATGGTTGTCAAGGGATCTTTAGTAAAGAACCATCTGCATGTTTAAAGAATTCTCTGCATGGTGAAATGGTTCTTCAGATTGATGGAGAATGTGTTGTATATGATTCTATATAGAAGCTTTTTGGAAATGGTTCTATATAGCACCAAAAAGGGTTTCTGTATGGGAAAAGGTTTCATACAGAACCATATACAACACAATCTCCATCAATCCAAAGAACCATTTCATCATGCAAAAACACTAATTCTCCAAATCGTCCTATACAGAACTCACGGTTCTAAACAGAACCATTGCCTTTACTAAAAAAACTTTAAAGAACGGTCTGTTTTAAAGAGTATAGCAAAACATTCTAGTGTTTCAGCTTTGTGACCTACTTCAGTCCATCTTCATAGATATCAGTGTGCCAGTGTAAAAAACACATTATGAAGTCTATTAGAGATTACTTAAGCAAGAATTCCATCTATTTTTCAAAATTCCTGCATAATTAAAAAATTTAAATAAAGTTTTTCAGAGCAGTTCCTGAACAAAATTCACCAAAATTGGTGGTGATATAATCAGACATCTGAAGAGTTTTATGCTTCCAAAACCTCCTTCACAGAAAGGTAATATGATAAATGGTTATGAATACGCTGTCTGATGTGTGAGACACTGTTTTACAATGGTTTTGAGAAGAATTTGGCAGAGGGGCACATGCAAGACCAACCAGTCCCCAAAGAAAATGTATTATTTTCAGATTATCCACTATTTTACCATCATCAACATTCCATATAAAACTCAGAAGACACATGTGGGTTCACTGGTGGTTTTGGATAGTACAATCCCGTTTCCGAAAAAGTTGGAATGCTGTGCAAAATTTAAGAAAAACACAATGCAATGATGTGCAAATAGTACAAAGACAACATATCAAATGCTGAAACTAAGACATTTTATGTTTTTTTTTAAAAATGTGTCTATTTTGAATTTAGTTCCAGCAACATGTTCCAAAACGTCTTGGGACAGGGGCAACAAAAGGCTGGTAAAGTTTGTGTAATGCTATAAAAACATCTGGTGGTTAATTGGCAATAGGTCAGTAACATGATTTGGTATAAAAAGAGCATCCTAGAGAGGCTGAGTCTTTCAGAAGTAAAGATGATGAGCAGTTCACCACTCTGTGAAAGACTGTGCAGGCAAATAGCGCAACAATTCAAGTATAATGTTTCTCAACATAAAATAGCAAAGAACTTGGTGATTTCATCATTCATAGTACATAATATCATTAAAAGATTCAGAGAATCTGGAGAAATCTCTGTCTTCAAGGGACAAGGCCAAAAACCAATACTGGCTTGCTGTGATCTTCAGGCCTTCAGACAGCACTGCATTAAAAACAGACACAATTCCATAGTGGAAATCACTGCATGGGCTCAGAAGCACTTCCAAAAACCAATGTCTGCAAACACAGTTCATCACTGCATCCACAAATGCAAGTTAAAATTCTATCATACAAAGAAGAAAGCATATATAAACAGAATCCAGAAACACCTCCACTTTCTCTGGGCCTAAGCTCAAGCTCTTTAAGATGGACTGAGACTAAATTAAAAAGTGTCCTGTGGTCCAACCAATCAAAATTTAGAATTCTTTCTGGAAATCATGGACACCACGTCACCCAGGCTGAAGATCATCCAGCTTGTTATCAGCGCACAGTTCAAAAGTCAGCATCTATAATGGTATAGGGGTGTATTAGTGCACCTGGCATGGGTGACATGCACATCTGTGAAGGCACCATCAATGCTGAATGATATATACAGGTTTTGGCACCATATGCTGCCAACCAGACGACGTCTTTTTCAGAGAAGACCTTGCTTATTTAACAACAATGTCAAACCACATTTTGCATGTATTAGAACAGCATGGCTCCGTATTAAAAGTGTCCAGGTGCTAAACAGGCCTGCAGTCCAGACCTGTCACCCACCGAAAACATTTGGTGCATTATGAAACAAAAAATTCAAAAAAAGGAGACCCCGAACTGTTGAGCAACATTTCACTTTCAAAACTACAGCAGTTGGTCTCCTCAGTTCCCAAACACTTACAGAGTGTTGCTAAAAGAAGAGGTGATGAAAACACAGTGGTAAACATGCCCCCTGTCCCAACTTTTATTGGAATGTGTTGCTGGTATCAACTTCAAAATGAGCATATATTCTTCAAAAAACAATAAAATTTCTCAGTTTTAACAGTTAATATGTTTTCTTTGTACAATTTTCAAGGAAATATCAGGCTTACATGATTTGCACATCATTGCATTCTGTTTTTATTTACATTTTGCACAGCATCCCAACGTTTTTGGAAACGGGGTTGTAAATAAAATGTTATATTCGTGTTGTAGTCATGGTGATGCCTGGTTCCTATTACCACCACTGTAAAAAAAACCTGAACCATTTCACACTAAACCACTCTGAGTGACTCTGATTACATCTCAGTAATTTAATGTTGAAGAAATTTCCAAAAAAAGCCCATTAACAGCTCAACAGGTAAGCACTGATTTAGGCATGCAGTTAGCACCATGCTAATCCATCCACCAAACATGTCTTGGCCAAATAACCACATTTGGGGTAAGAAAGCGTACATCTGATGATTCAGCACACTATCATAACATGTTTTTTTCAACAGTAATAGATAGATAGATAGATAGATAGATAGATAGATGTAATATGCAATATGTGTATTATATATAATATTATAATTACTAAATAAACAATTATCCATCCAGGACATTGTATCTGTCACACATTTCTCCAGCAAGGACTCTAATTCCCAGAACTCCTGGGATGATCACACTGATTAATGAGCATTTTCACCTGATCTGCGTATCATGTGGTCTGTGTAGTTAGCCTAGTTAGCTTAGCCTTTTTGCGAGGTATTGCAACTGTCTTCAGATCTACTGAGTCTTTCCTTCTGATTACCAGTTTGGTTTCTTGTCTTCTGGTTTTGTATTGTTTTGGATTTGACCTTGAACTGTTTTGTGACAATGATTTCGAACTAGTAAAGCCTCATCATTTTAATACGCATGCGTCTGTCTTATTCTGTCACATTACAATATCATATCCTCTCACAGGAAATACTGGTCAAACAGCAGACCACCTTCAGTAACAGACAGTTTTTTACCAACAGTGATCACCCTGTATGACAGTTCATCACTGTGCCGGGACATCATTGTGCATTAGGGAATATTCCTAGAATAAGCTCATCTATTATGATCCGGTCTGGGGTCAGGTGGTAAAGAACGGTGTGGTGCAATATGTATGCACGAAAAAACTTCAAACCCACTTATGCAGTTGTGACGAAGATTCTGACATTCACCAGCGTTTTCTTATTTGGGATTTGTTCTTAGGTAAGAACAGAATCCACACACACTCAAGAGCACAAAGGTGTGAACAGTTCTGCGCTTTAAGAACACGTCATGAATCTGATGTAGACTTTTTCTTAGGACCATTCTCTTCATTTAAGAAAAAGACTTAGGAGAATATTGGAGAATGAGGCCCAATGCAAAATGCAAAAAAAGAACCCTGATGGTTTCTTATGTAGGCTGTGGTGCATTTTACAGCTTAAACCACACAAGACACATTTAGAATTTGTATTAACTGATATTTCCATTTTCCACTCAGAGGAGCAAAATGGGGGAAAAAACATCAAATCAAGTTGTCGAAAAAATGTAGCAATCACGAACGAGCGGTAACGAAGGAAGAAACCAACAGAAAAAAAGTCCTCTTTGGAAAATATGATAATTGTGCGGACATGGCAAAGTGAGAGTTTTCTCTTTTTTTCTGAAGAAAAAAACAATTTTTCAAAGCCTTTTGCTTAAAAATGCAGTTACAAAAACATACTGTGGAAGAAGAGGTGTGGTCAAGTGTCACATACAGGACAGAGAGCAGGCTGAGTAGCTGACAAGATTCACCTGTGTCTTGTTTCTGGGTCGTCCTGGAGAGCCATCTTCAAGATGGAGATGGTGGCTGGAGCTAGAACACTGGTTGCTGTCAACAAGCTCAGCATAAGCTTCCTGTCCGCTTCCTGGCCCTGGGCCAGGGCCTCGAAGCGGACCTGGTTTTCCCTTTGGAAATCCAGGACAGCCTGATGTTGGGTCTGCTGCAGGAGGAAGAGCGCTTTGACAATCTCTCCAAGTGGTGAGCACTCCATAGCTGTGTCCCAATTCAGGGGCTGCATCCTTCAGAGGCTGCATTTGAAGGCCGAC